AGAAAACCAACCCGAAAAGTATTCGTTTCACAACCCTTCGTGGCACTTTACTATTCACCTTTCTTTCAGTTTTCGGATCTCTTTCCGCAGTTTTTGCTGGCTATACACATATACATACATACATGCATATCGTCGTATAAAGTACAAAACCGCGTATCGTCATTCTGCAAAATCCCGTAACTGACATTTGCTGCCAAAAATTGAATTTGCTTACAGAAGCTGTTGGCTCAATCCTTATCCATTCGTCCTGAAATATACTATCCTGAAATGTGATTGCTTTATAAAAAAGAGAACCATTTTGAAATATGAGTGTTTTTACTATCTAGATAATAATTTATGCAACCTCACATAGGCGGCTTTGCATTTTGTTGATACGCGGTTTTGTACTTTAAACGACGATATACAGATTATTAAAGACGATCTAAATTACACTGTATGACAAAAAAAAATTTATATAGTTTTTTCGAGGTTCACACTTGTAGGTCTATTCAAGCAGTAAAATCTGCATACTCAGAATTTTAAATACACCCTCAAAATCTGAGCTTAAGGTCAAAAACCGCGTTTTTCAAGGGGTGACGCACAGGTATACTTGCTCGAAACTTTATTTCTGTTTACCCGGTGAAAAATACGTATTTATGTATGTGATTCAAGATAAGACATTTCGCTGCTTACAACAATGTTAAAATTGATACTTTATCCTAAGAAATAGCAAAGGAATCAGTGATCAGACTTAAAAAAAATTTGTGCGGTAGAATCTAAAAAAAAATGTGGTAGATTTCAAAAAAATGTGGTAGATCTCAGGTTTTGAATCAAACTTTGTGCAAAAAATAAAAAAAATCTGCAAGGTTTCTCCTAAATTGCAAACATTTTAATTAGAATCTAAAACAAAATTAATTTTAGTATAATAAATTGCAAGATTGAAGTTGATAAAAATTGCGTTGGTTTTGGCAATTTTTTTCTTTGACAGTTTCGAACATATTTTGAAATATTTCTGCAACCTTGCAGAGTGCTGCCAGCTTTTCTTTTTATCACATCACGATGTAGCGAACAAATGTGGCTCGTTCCAGAAATGCTACTTGGGATTTGCCGATTTTGACAATTCTCAAGTAAAAGTAAACAACGCTTTAGAAATGTGAGATGCACTGAAATTTGCTAATGCTTTCACAAAAATCGCCGGTTTTTATCATTTTCACTATTAATTCTTTTTATAAATCATATATTTTGCAATTTAACACAATAAAACCATGTTTGATGTCGAAAAATTGAATATTGAGAAAGTTTGCTATTTTACAGTTTATTTTATCCTCCCATTCTGCCTGTTGTAAGTGTTTAGTGTTGGACAATTTTTGCTCTTAAAATTAAGAAAATTATGTTGAGCAAAAATAAAACTACTCAAAAACGCGAATATGTGGTAGATTTCAGACCTTGTGTGGTAGGTGTGCTCAAAAAAGTGGCAGATCTACAACAATGTGGTAGAAGTCCGATCACTGAAAGGAATCTTACAGAGTATATCGATGGCTGAGTGGAAGATCGACCTATCTCGGCAACCAGTTCGAAAACGCCCTATCTCAGAAAATTTTTTAACAACGCGCTATCTCAGAAAACTTTTCAAGAACGCCCTACTTCAGAATTTCATTGAAAAACGCCCTATCTTAGCTGCCGATTCAAAAACGCCCTAAATCAGCTTATTTTCAATGTTTTTTCGTTTGAGATAGGGCGTTTTTGAAATGAATTCTGAGATAGGGCGTTATTCAACCAAATTCTGAAATAGGGCGTTTTTCAATCAAACTTTGAAGTAGGGCGTTCTTGAAAAATTTTCAGAGACAGGGCGTTTTTGAACTGGCTTCCGAGATAGGTCGATCTTCCACTCAGCCATCGATATGCAAAATTTAAATTTTTAAAATTTTTTCATTTTAAATTACGACTTGTCCGACTATTTTGTTAACTAGTATACATACATAGGGTGCCCATTCTCAAGACAAATTAACCATTTATAAATGTTTGTAAACAACGAAATGTTTTCTCTTAAATGGCATATGTAAGTATTTTTCATCGGGCAAACAGAAGTAAAGTTACGAGCAAGTATATGCTTCAACCTATGAAAAACACGTTTTTTACCTTCAGCCCAGATCTTTGAGGGTGTATTCAAAATTCTGAGTACCTGTGCGTATATATTATTTTTGTTTATTCACTTCAAATCTCACGAAATCCTAAATGCAAAAGTATGGTTGACACCGGATCAGCTGTTTAAGTATTTATGACCAAATGGTTAAATCGTGTGAATGAATGTGGACAATATTTGTCACTTTACTGCTGTGCGCAAATGTGTGCCAAATCATTTGGATCTTTGGCAGCCAAATCGTCTGATCGCAAAACAAATCATTTGTACATCGCTATCCAAATGCGCAAATGTGGACAAATCTAAATTTGGCATTTTGTGTACAAATGTACAAATCGTGTGATCCCTGCTTAAGGCTGCGTAGGATAAGTAGGAATATGTCTGTACACTACGAATACTAATGTTATGTGCTAAATTACAAATAAATGGTTTAGTAGACTACTGGGCATGCAATACTACAACGAAAGCTATTTTCTATACTTTTTTATAAAAAGAGAATTGCAAAATAAGAAATAGCTTAACATAAAAGTACATTTTATTTATATATTTTTTTTTATCTACCTTATGGTTTACATAATTAATTTCTCCTCAGACTAATTTCCAAAAGTAAATCAGTTTTTTTATTCCTATTTAGTAGCTATTTTTTCTTTGCAAAAAATTTGCCTATACAATTTTGTGCTTTTGTATATTACGCCTCACTTGCTCAGGTACTTGCCCTTTCTTTTGTGTTATATTTGCAATTTATGAGTAAATTATGTGACCATTTTGTATGTATATTTTTGTATATATATGCATATGTGTCTCAAATATATGGTTGTAGTTATAAATTTTTTTGTTTTGTGTTTTTATTCAGGCAATTGCAAGCTTTTCAAAAAGCGCATTGAAAATTAAAAGCGAAGCCGATTGATTTTTTAACGTGTAACATAAAATTCTAAAATAGCAAAATGCAAATAAAAACACAAAAAACTTGGAAATAATAAAGTAGTAAAGAAAATTAATCGAAGATTAAAGAAAGTAATTAAAAAGAAAAAAGTCAATAAAACAAAATTTTTAAATAATTTGATAATTTTGCAATCTTATTTTTAAATATTTTTTGAAAACTGTTATTAAATGTTAGCTGCTTGTATTAATTTTATTTATTTGTTTTAAATTAGTCTCTGTAAAATGTAAAGCTTTTTTTGAAAGTTCTTTCTTGAAAGCTATGCCTTAGGTGAACACCGCTCAACGTGAACACTGATTTTTAACTATTTACACCAGTGATGCTCAGAGAGAGAGAGAGCTTTTACTTTGTGCGCGTCCATATAAAATCTACAGGGAGCTTTGAAGCGTTGCGTCCGCGAGCGCTGTTTTGACCCTCACTGATCTACACATATCGCGCTATGACAATCGCAGAAGAAAGAGACAATATGCATTAACCAATTTCAAAGAACTAAATTTTAACGAGTTCTTTGATGCTATAGATTATTTGGCGATATTTATGTATGTATGTAGCTTTACGCTTCAGGGTGGAGTTAAGAAGCTGCGATTAGCATATCAACAAATTGACTTCGTCCGAAACTTCGAAATCCATTTTCCCGACAGAAGTGACTGGGAGATTAATATTGACCTAGCTCCATCTAAACATGCCTTCGTTATGTATAGTCAAGCTGCTAACAAGGCCCTGGTGTCGTAGCGAATAACTCGATATAAGTTCAGGAATGTCAAAGATCAATACGATCTATTCGAAAGCGTATAGTAAATCTCTATTGACACAGTGATTTTCTGGGAAGCGAGGAAGCAGACGAGTGAGCGAGAAAGAGGCCTAAGATGGGATTAAGAAAAGTTGTTGAAAGCATACAACCTCCATTCTTTTCCAGTTGAGGAGATGCGCTCACTATGGTGACTGCTCGATGAACGGTATTGCAGAAGCTTTATGCCAACTTCATATAAGAGTGGTTGAATACTCCTTTTTGAGAGTGAAACTGAAGCATATTTGAAGCCCAAAAGCATAAAAGATGATGCCAACGGGGTACTTGGATGTTAGCATTATTCGAAATTCGTAGATGGAGAATATATACATATAAGCATATCTTATTTTTGACTTTGTGAATCATTGATTTGGCTAGTTGCACTTACGAGGAAAATGGAAAGGTTTACTTCTTTGTTCTTATAGACATCCGCCTTGAAAAAATACTTTTAATATAAAAGTATTTCTATAGTAACCATATTAGCAAATCATATTTCATAACTTAGTTGAGAACTACAGACTTTGTAACTTGCTACGAAAATAGATATGTCTGGGAGTTTAACTAGTGCCGATAAGGCTCAAGTAAATATAGCATCTATAAAAGCCGTCGGATCAGCCATTCGATGAGAGTATACATAAGTTGTAACCAGTTATATAATATATGAGGACCTTCTTTAGGTTCTTAGTTAGTAGTGAAGTCAATAATTGGTTAGAAATGTCGGGCATAGTCAGCATCACTGAACACTGATCACAATAGGCAATAACTCATTCACGGCTTCTTAACATCAGCTAAGTATCCCATTCTAAGGCGAGGAATCTGAAGTTTTTTGTAGAGGCCAAGGACTCAAGGCCATTATAATACATAGTTCTAAATAAAATCTATAAACAAAATCAAATAAATAAACAAGAACAACTGAAAGGATATCAATCTAGTTGACTACCGTTGTGCTTTAGGTTAGTCAAAATTGGGTTAGTAACGAATCTACAAATTAATGTAAAATCACAATTACCCACTAATGCACTAATATTGAGCCACTACATATGGACTAATCAGAAACCAAATAACTCAGGATAAACAAACTAAGATCTAAACTAATACAAACAAAACTAGGGGAACTAAAATATGAAAAAGCTTTTGCAACTTAAAAAACTTACGCGCGTTTGCTTGCCCAGTTTCTTGTTTACCTGGACGCCGACACTCAGTTTTTGGCCCGTGTGCCGTGATGTTTGCTTTACAAGAATGCCAATCATTTCCGTTTGCAATTCGGGCATGTCCAGGCAGTGTTGTAGGGCATTTTGTGCCAAAACGACATGATAATCGATGCCAGGTTGATTGACGGCAACTGACATGAATAGTTGAATACTCTGTGTATAAGAGAGAATGAGTAGAAAGAAAACGCGAATTTAGGAGAGGGAGTTTACATGAGTAGAGAGATAGTTATAAATCAACAACGATCAGAGAGAGTGGTATAGAAGGTTCCAAAAATCTCTACCGTGGGATATGTTTTGCTTTGGCCGTAACTGATTTAAATGTTCATTAAGCAATTTTCACTCGACTTACTGCCTCTAAATCTTACCTTAAATAATTTAATAGCTTCTGGTTGCATGGCTTCCGAGTGTAGCGAGGTAAGCGGTGATGTGATGGCGTCTTTGGTATGCAATAATATTGGATGGCGCCATAGAACACAATCTATAAGAAAATTATGTGAATATCATTTAGAAAAGAGGTGTGAAAGCTGTTGTTGTATGAGTAGTATTCCTCAATAACTCGATTATCGTCGACGGCGGCTTGTTCTTTAAGTGGCGTAGGACGATGTGAAACACGTGAGAACTATTGATCATTTACCAATCAAAAGTGGGTAGATTATTAAATTTAGAGTGAAGGGTCGATTTGAGCTCTCAAGTCTATAAATCTTTCACAGCAACAATGGAAACGGTAGAAAATTTGACTTCGTGGACCGAAAAGATCTTGATAATTAGCCACAGGTCATCGAAGGAGGTGTTGGACGGAACATATATTATCGAATCTAGGATTGAATGACATACATATACCCATTTAAGCTGCGGAACCTATGTCCGAAGGGTGCTTAGTATACAGTAGTACTTTCAGGAAGAATCGGGCGAGACAAAATACAACGCCTAAACGCCGAAACTGGAACTGTTGAAATTGCGGACAGTTGCGTCCTATAGCTTCAGACATTTTCCTACAAAGGGCTGGGAGATGCACTTGGCTATGACGGCCGCAGATCATTGTTGCCTAAATACATATATATAAATTTGAATCTAGAGCCGATGGTGAAACGTACTCTCAGGCTCTTTATCTGTGTATTAATTTCCGGATAAAAAGTGTAGTCTGTAGAAAAATGGCCCTCAGACTAGGCGCTGAGCGGATGCTAGATGATATAGGCCAAAGACTTTTTAGTCACGGGTAGGGCGAGCTTTGGACAACCAGCCTGAAACTTTGGTGTAGATTCTATTTAAGTCAATGAATGTCCTTTCACAGAAGCGAAAATCTTAAGAGCCCATGGCGTTGGGTCGTTTGAAATTGTTGCATTGCTAAAATTGGTTAATGTAATGATCATTATCTTCACGGGCACATGAAACTTGCACTTTTGACGGGTTGGTATAAAAGGAAAGGCTTTTAGAATAATAGTTTCCATAGAGACGAAGGTTTTTTTAATAACAGCGGGACTATCCACTTAGTTCGTCATCAAATGGATATCACCTGTATTTCTGACCAAGAACTGTCAGCAAAAATATTGCCGAATCTACTCAGCGTGAGTCGGTGAAGATGTTAATCGTTTTAGGACGTTATAGTACTTCTTATTACAAATAGTCCTTGGAGACCTTCTGCGAGATAGCCTCTTTATGCTAACTAACTACTCTTAGATATGATCTCAGAAAGCAATAGAGCTTTATCGGATCCTGCGTGGGATATAAATAGGCTTTTAGACGGCTAATGGATTTTTAGGTTCGCCATAGCGCGGCCATTATGAGCACTAGAGTAGAGAAAAGAAATATGTCAATTAATCAATAAATACTCACTGGGATCTCCATCAGTCTCCATAAGTTTCTGTACGAGTTGCTCGTATTGTGTGCCCGCATTCGGGCCACCACCCGACACCACAGTCAAATGGTATAGCCAATTATCACGTTCCTGTTTGCCGGGTAATATAAGGTATGTAGGCCCTTGATGTGCAGGATAAATGGCGACGGTAAGACGTGCTTGGCTTTGTGTAGGATCTTCACGTTCCTCCGAATCGGAATCGGAAACATGTTCGACCTCTTCGACGCGCGCATCACGCATATTAATTTGACCGAGCGGATTCTAAGTAGAAAGCAGATGATGAATTTGAGATTACCTTAAAAAAATGCTTTCACTTACCGTTTCGCCCGGCGCCTTGAAGTAGAGGAACATTTTACCCAACAACACACACCAACACTTCTTCGCATGCCCATTCTTCACCTTAGTGACCCAACCCTGTACGGTGGGTTTCTGATCGTCACGACTCAGCAGCAGTTTGGTTGCATTGCGCCGCTGCACATTCTGCAGTACGCGTATCCAATCGTCCATCGTGGCATTCGAGTCGGCGGTGAGGTAGTAGACCTTCTTACCCGTATCAATCTCAAAAGTGGAAGCACCTTCAGCGCGATTTATGCGACACGCTTCGTCTAGCATTATCTGACCCTGCGGCTTGCGATTCACATCATGTTGACTCTTCCAATAGGTGAGGGTGCCATTCTTAAGCACGAACCAACGCTTGCGCCAAGTCTTCAATTTGCCACCGAGTTTGGCGAGGTGACCCATCTGCGGGCGAAGCGAGAGAATGAGTAAAAAAGGCGGCTAGTGAGAGGTGAGATAAAAAAAAATTGAAGCAGTAACTTAGACTGCTTTTACACAGTTCAAGTATTGAATTCAATTCTGCTCGCATGTGGAAGAGAGGGGGTGAGAAGAAAAGGGACGAGTATACATGCGTCTCTTCCCATTTAAAGAACCAAAAACTTGAATTCAACAGAATTGAAACGTGTAAAAGCAAATAGAAACCACAAAAGAGATTGAGCAAGAATTGCTTTCAAGTACTTGAATCATGTAAATCGGGTGTTACCTTCTCCAGCGACTCGATCTTCTTGCTCGGCGAATCCACATAGGATTGTCGCATCAAAAGCGACGGCATAGAAGCATCCATGCACGTGGACTCGGACACCGCATCCGGTGGCAGAGCATAGTCATCCGATAGGCCTGATTCAAAGGAAATATCTGAAATTACTGTTCCACGCATGTGGGGGAGACGTAGATGATTGTTGGTAAACGTGTGTGAGTGGTTGTTGGTGCTGAAGTAGGTGGATTTGGCGGTGTTGTTGTTCTGAGTTTGTAAGGGTAGGGTTTGTGTATTGGTATAGGGACCCAAGTGATGTGTATGATTCGTTTGGTTGTAGGAGTGCATTGTGTTGTAATGATTGTTGTGTTTGTTATTGGTGTTGGTGTTTGTGTTGGTGAGTTGTGCAGTGGATAGGTGCAGTTGGTGAGCTTCGAAAGAGAATTTTCCATACAAAAAGGTAAATGGTAAAATGAGAGCCAAATATTTTGAATTTCGTTTCGAGAGAGCGAGAGAAAGGTTAATGAATGGGGACATTTAATGGGTGCATATAAAGAGAAAGTTATTAAAAAGTTCAATTTTATTTGCGAAGAATTTATTTTTAACTTTTTAAATGGAACTCTACGGGGTAAGAAATTAATCTGGATTAGTCTACGGGATTTGATAAAGTGACTGGCACAATGCGCGCCTGAGTGGGAGTGGTGTGCATGGAAGAGGGCTTGCGGAAACTGTTAGAGTGAGGAGGCAAGGGGTAGCGCGGAATATAAAGGGAAAGAAATTATGAGGAAGAAGGAGATAAAGACTATGGTCATGCTAAAACCGAAGGGTGTGAAAAGCTAATGGTTACTGACATGCAAAGTTAGGAGAGAAAAGACAAGAAATTGGGAGTACTTCTAATTCAATGATCGCTAAAAGAGAGTTTACTAAAAGGAGCTACTCAAACAAAATATCTTCTGGGGTTTACATACACCGGCTAATCTTTTGCGATACCAGATGAAATACGAGCAGCTTTAAGTATCGTCAGTGCTATTTGAGTGTAGTTCACAATATTCCGAAAGATTTGGTAACACTATGTACGGGTAATTCAGTCGCCTCTTGGATAATTCGTCGTCCAGTAAGTCAATGTACATAGGTTTTGACGTGGAACCATGAAAGGCTATGATCGTCGCGTTTAAAAATATAAGAAGCAGCTCATGGTTCGTCTGGACTTGAGATAGAATCTTCTTATTTCACACTGTAACTGCCTAAGCGAACAATTAGATTATGGAAGGCTATTAAAAAATATACCATCCTTTAGGCACGTACTGAGGATTGGGTATTACGTGCAACAATTATTACTGGAACCGTGGTGGTAGAAATAAATCGAAAACAGTTGAACACCTGCTGTTTGGATGGCCCACCTTCTATTCGGCGAATCAATCCAACCATATACTTCACAACGCTGTAACATGTAAAGATAAACTCTGTGATGATATTGAAAGCCCTGGCAGTCGATGCTATCTGGGTTCCACTTTATTGGAGATATCGCAAATGTTTTCCATATGTAATATATAAGGCTTCTAGTAGGATTCGTTGATAATTGATTCTTTCGCAACTGGGTTGTCTGGGTCTGCCTATTGAGGCAGCAAACCATGTATGCTCCAAGGAAGACAAGATGAGTCAACACATTTCTAATGAAAATCTGGCTTAAACCAAATAGGTGTTACTGCATTTCGACTGCATAGACTCAAAAGTTATTTAGAAATTTTTAATCAGGGGCATTTTCATAACATTCGGGTAGCTAGAGCGAGAAATATAGGCAATTTTTTTGGTTGCAGTGTCGTCCGAGTTAAATCAGAGAAGAATGCTTTCTATTACCATCCTATATTATTATCTTTTTACGACCGAAAAGTGGCAAAATTCATTAGAATTCGCTTAAAAAGACTTGCAAGATTTTTGACCAAGATACTAGTGGGTTTGGTGGTTTCTAAGGGACAAACTGGCTCGGGGAAGAAATAAATACCAAGATAGTTTTAATCTACTTAGAAACGACAAAGACTTACTGATGGCTCTACTATCTTAGCTAATGATAATAATTAATTTCTAAAAAGGGGAAAAGTGGGCGTGCATGTTGCGGTAGAGGAGTTTACGTATTTTGTTTTGGTTGTGGAATGGGTGTTTTATCTCGTGGAATCGACAGGCACAATCAACTACGCAGGCTACACACGCAAACTCATGCTGCAATACATACCACGCGCTTTCGTATTTTTAGGACTCTCGGAACCACTACGCTTGGCCGGACTTAAGCTCGACGATGTCTTCAAACTCTTCGAAGGACTCGAAGCACTACCCGAGGTCGATGTTTCCGTATTGTCAGTGCTCGATGAGTTGTGTGAATTGTGCGTTAGCATAACGGCATGATCCTCGCCATCGCTCGAATCATCGCTGGAGTCGCCCGTAAAGGGCATGGAACGTATTTGCGAAGCACGCTGAAGTCACATGCAATAATAAACGTCAAATAATAGCCGGAAGAGAGCTAACAGTAAAAAAAAACTCACCCCCTTGACGGTGGCATAAACGGGCACCGATATATCACAGAAACCTCCGCTTGCGGTCTGCTGCTGACGCGTCGGCAGCTGCGGCGTGCCGGGGGCGCCGCTACCCACACCACCACCACCATCACCGCTGCGCGCGCTACCCAAAGTGCCATTGTTCGCTGGCGTAGCACGCCCATGTCCGCCACCATTCGCTAGCGTATTACACGCGCTATTGCTGCCTGCCGATGCTGCGCCGCTCGTGGACTCTTGTATATCGGGTGGCGGCTGTGGCTGTGTCTGCGTGTGGTGTGCGTCCTGCTGTTGATGGTGGTGGTGCTGGTGCTGCGCTAAGCTCTCCTCGCTCACACCCGTCAGCCCATCGTTGGCCACTTGATAGATTTTCGCCTCCCAGCTGGGGAAGCGATGCAGTGGCGGCGTGGGTGGACGCGGTACGCCCAAATCACCGCTAGTCGTGGTTGTGGTGCTCGAATTGCCGCCACTCGCCATCAATGCCGGATTGTTCTTCATCCAGGCGGGCAATTTTTCACACGAGGGTGTATAGATTTCTGCATAATCGTGCGCAGTGTCGGTGTCGGAACTATCGGGCCGCGTTGTAGCTGATTTGGTGATGCTCGCTAGTGGCGTGAGTGTTAAACCATCCACAGCGGCGACCAAATTACGCTCGAGCTCTTGCGGCTCCATGCTGAGATTGCGTCGATGCTGATGATGTGGATAGGAAGCGGTTAACGGCCGATTGATTATCTCTTGTGGATCTAAGCTTTCGCTGCGCCGTCGTCCCTCTGCGGTATCGGCGAACTCTTGCACATCCAAGCTTAGGCTATTGCGCACCGGATGTGGGCCGATGATGCTGTGCCGATTCGATTGATTGGCGATGTGATTCTTTAGCAATTCCAACTGTTGATTACACTTGACATTCTGTTCGCGTAGCAGCTGATTTTGTTCCTCGAGTTCACGTAGTTTATTGGTGACCCACTCCTTGATTTTGGCCGCCTTCGCTTCGACTTGACGCGCGTCGTGTAGACGTAATTGACGCTGCTCCTCGACTTGTATTTCCAATGATGTTATAGTTTTCTCAGCTTCGTGGGTAGGAAGACTAGCTGTTTGTTGTGCGGCGAGCGCTGATTGTTGTTGCTGCTGTTGCAGTTGCTGTTGTTGGCTTTGATGGATGGGCGAGTTGGTGGCTGACTGTGGTGGTTTGGGCCATTCACTCAGCCGCTGTTCCATAGCCCGCACCTGGAAGAAGGAAGAAGTAGAAAAAAGGGTTTAGAAAATAAAGTCAGTTGTGCGGTTAGAGAGAAAAAAAGGGGAAAGCTCAAGATCTAAAATTATGACAATGAAGCCTGAATAAAGTTTAATAAACAGAAGATGTTTGAAAGCACTTTTATCTAACAAATTTGAATCAAACAGAATTTGGCCAACTTTTTTGTGTGTTCTATTTTGGAAATAAGGGACCAAATCAAATATCTCGGGCAGGAGAAGAGATAGCGAAATAAATGCAACGGGTTTTAAAAGCTTTTGAGATTGAAAATTCAAGGAAAATAGTCTCGTTAGATAGAAGTATTACCTTGTCCTTTGAAATGACCATCAGGAATATAGAGCATTAAAATTTTCTTAAGTTAACTTTGCTGCTTTTAGGTCTATAAAATACAAACAAATTTAAAAGTTTTACTTTTGAAGGCCGGTTTTGAGGCCAAGGAAGTTTTTCATAGAATCGGACATTTAAAATGGCCGTAAAAATGAAAATTTTCGATATTTGTTTTTGTCCTTTCTTTGAAAATAGAACAGTGTACGCCGTGTATTGGCTGTGAGGAGCTCAAGGGTATACATATGTATCTAATCATTTATATGTACTTTAAACTGTTAGATCCATTTTTTACATGACATTTTATTAAAAACTAGCAAATACCCGGCATGATTCACTGCGCTTTAAAAATATTTGTGTGTTGTTACTCCCTCGAAAAGCTCTTATGGCTTCATTAAAAAAAATAAAACAGATTTGAAGAGCTTTGTGAATTAAGATTTTCAAACAAATTGTCGATTTATGAAACATACTTTATTTTTTATGAATAAAGGTGTTAGCTAATATATTTTCGAAGGTGTTTATATTTTTATAACTAGATTCTGCATAAAGTGCGCATTCTTCAAAGGTGTATTAATTCTGTATTTACCTTATCTTATCACTTTAACTGAATACAATTTTTTAAATGGGTGGCAACCCGCTACAAAAATTTTTTCGGCAGTAAAATTTTTTAACATCTGTAGTTTGATACCCGTATTGTAATGTTTCATTTATTTTATCAATTTAGTAATCGAATAACATTTTTCAAACAGGTGGCAACCTTCATCAAAAAATTTTAGGCAGGAAACTTTCCTAAACTTATTTAGTTTGATATCCATATTGCAATATTTCGTTTAACTTATCAATTAAAACAAATTAAAATTTTCAAACAGGTGGCAACCTTCTCCAAAAATATTTTCCACTTTAAGCTTTCTTTAGCTTCTTACTTTCGACGGCGATATTGCAATATTTACTTATGTTATCAATGTACTTAAACTTCAATTATCAAACAGGTGGCAACTCTCTAATTGTTTTTCTTTCTATATTTTAGGTTAGACCTTTAGCAATACATCGCTGAAAACTGCATTCGATTCCATGCATTAGCTTTGAGTGATGCGCGTACAAACATACAGACAGACAAAAATTCTAAAAAGTTGTTGATTTGGATTCTGTTGCTTGAATAAAGACCCACCATATTAATTTTATCTTTATCTAAATTATTTTCATACAACTCCACACTAAAATTCGAATGAAAATGCTGGTGCCGCCATGGTTAGTGTTCATCGTCTATGCTTATTGAATAAATCATTTAATTTTCAAGTTTCCAAATCGAAACACTCATTTTGAAATGTTTTTCCTTCCGCCCACAAAACTCTTAGCTGATTTTTTTTTTCTTTTCTACCCCGTTGTGGTTGTCTGCAAAGTTTTTGTCACCAACACCGCTCACACCAACCGCTCACTTCTCAAAGCACAAAATATTTGAATATCGTCTAACACCAATTAATAGTTAACGATCCACAACCCATTTTGCTTTAAAGTTAATTTAATTGAAAAGTTTGAACCATTTCTTTGCCCGCGCCGAGCGTATAAATTTGTTTTGTGCCAAAGAAATACGCCCAGATCGAACTACTCGAAAAGGGGTTGGTTATCGCGCGTGGTAGAATACTTTGAAACTTGCCGCTTCGATTATTCAGAAGCAAGCAGTTTGTGGCGGAGGGTAAGTCGCTTCCGTCGTCTCGGTTGTAACGGTTTAAGCTTACAAACTTGCAAATCTATTATAGAGCAGAGTAAGTGGAGTCACCGCAACATTTTATGGCATGAAAGGCGAGACAATGCACCACACCAACACAGCTGTAGACGCATATCTTTAGTGTAAAATGGTGAAGTTCGAAGCACACGAGCAGACAACTTGGCGTGAAACTTAGCCATTTAAGCTTTTGTTTTTATTTCTTAAGCGGTTTAGTGCGCTATATGCAGTGCGAGGAATAGCTAAGATAAGCAGGAATGCTATCGCCTTTATGTATTGTGCAGCCTCTTACCTTCGCGATTGCTTTTTAGCACACAAAATCACGAACCGCGATTCACACATACGATAAATTAAGTTATCGTGTGCGAGCGTTATTTTAACAAGCGCCAAAGTGTGGGGTCAAGGTGAAGTTGCAGAGATTCGAAGGTTTGCAGTGTGGGTAACAGATTATAGATGATAGGATGTACAAAAAGGATACAAGTAATTTCAGTAGAGTGCAGCATTCACAAACGTATGGAATGTGTACTAAAGTACCTAAATCATTTTGCGCTTAAATTATTTAAATTTCTCAAAACATTACCCAACGTAGTTCCCAACTTTTGCTTGCACCCAACAGTTCTAGGAGAGATCAACGTCAACTGATCTAGTTCAAGCACTGCATCTGCGCCCGTTGGTTGAGTAATTGAAGTAATCATGCGGAGCAACAGAAAGAACCCCGAAAAACAGGCGTCTACCCTAACAGGATTTAAATAGCGTTGGTATAGAATTTAGCATATGGGTATTTCCATACGTCGAATACGGGACAGTCGTACGTTTCAATGTGATACAAAAAAGAAATACCATTTGTTTTCTTTAACTTTTTTGGGCCATTGTATAGCACATAATTAGCTCTATATTTAACCGAAAAATGAAAACAATCGAACTGCTTGGTCCTGAAATATAAGTATTTAAAGAGAGTGCCGTTACGTGACAAAAAAATGGAAATTGATTTTTTCTTTTCTTACAAAACCGCAAAACTCTGCGAATTGTGGATGGCTATTTTCATGAAACTTATTTTAATACGACTTTGAGAAATTCCAGTTGCTTTTAGAGTTTTTTGAATTAATGCAACTTGTTTCAATTTTCTTTTACAACCCCAAGTGTGAAACGTCACGTGACGTGGGTCACGTGACATGAATTTCCATCGTTATATTTTTGTTAATATTGCTTTTAAATGAATTTTTAACGCAAATAAAACATGTATTTTATGTCGAATATACTTTATATTTTGACTTCAGCGCCAATTTAGGGTCAGTTTGTCGGAAATCTATGATTTATTATGTTTCAACTACATACGCCAAATTCGAACCAAATCGGACCATAAATACGGTTTTTCGAAATATCTCGACCTTGGCGCCACCTAGGAAGACCATTTTACGCAAACATGATTCTACTCACATAGCCAGCATATATTTAAAAAATCAGACAAATGGGCCCGTAAATACGTTAGATATAAGACTTTTTTTTTTTGTCGTGGTGGACCTTCCGATGGAAACACCCATATGAAATCACATCATCATTAGTTCTTGAGTGAATTGAGAAACTTAGCTCCCTGGTTAGGCACAATAACATCCAGTTAGGGAAAAAGAGGTTAATAGGCAGCTGACGTTCACACAAGAGAGGCGGCCGCCAACACTCCAGTTGGTACCGAAGCCTTCCTGGGAGTAGGTCACAATAATATTACGCAGGAGCTTAGGAGTGAGAGGAACACTCTGAGGATATAAACAATAAACAGTTTGGTAGGAATGCGCCCGACAAAGAATGTATGGGAATGTATAACTAGAGAAGATATCAAACCCTAGTTAATGTCCAAAAAAGAAAACACTGTAGACTAAGAGGGCATCTGTATAAGCTGGGAATATGATCAAAAAAGCTTTGCTGGTTCTGCTACTCGACCAGATAAACACCACTACACATTCTCATCGAGTGAGATGCCGTCTTTCTGAGGGATCTGGGCTTAGAAGAAGCATTATGAAGAGAAGGGAACACAATAGATTAATAAGTCGCGGTGCACACGTCATTTAGTATCAGCAGATCGGAAGAGGTGGATGGGGAATGCCACAAGCAGACCAGGGAGCTAAAAACCTAAGATGCGGTAAAGAAGAGATCCAGTACTTCGAGGTGAAGCAGGTTCGACAGCTGTTCGCGAAAAGACTAAGATTCAACAGCCAAGAAGCTTCCAAGTCTTCTCAGTGTTGAAGACAGATTAAAATCAGGCTGCTTAGAATGACGAGTCCAGCACGTTATTGAATTATTTTGCGTACTGATAAAGCTTGATGTGTTTTTTTTTTGTCAAGCCAGATGTCGTTGCAAAACTTGCCGGTAACTAATTTTTTGCACTCTTAAAACTCGCATCCATGGAGTTCTTATATCTGAACAAAAAAATGCATGTTTGTTTTAGTGTGCTCATTTCCAGGTCTACACTCTTCCATCAGCCCTTATCTCTTAGTTTAGCTATAACTCTCTGTACCAAAGAAGCTGTATGAAACAGAGAGGTTTTACTCAAATACATGCAAGCCTCAGAGCTAAATAGGTACAAAATGTGCAACTTTTTCCTTCCAACTGTCGAAATATGGATGTGGGAATAAAAAAAATACCTTGCCTCATAACATAGCCCGTAAAATTTTTTTGTTCACCGAAAAATAGTAGTCAATTTGTATAGATTTTCTTTCGCTGAAACCAAAAACCGTGGATTTCTTTTTAAAAGGCTTAAGGCAACTCCTCTATAACCTAAGTAAACGGACAATAAGTGCGATTCAGTTGTCGGTACGGTATAAGTAAAGTTTATGCGAGAAAGTAATTAGAGTTTTAGAAAAACAGGAGCAATAACGATATATATATTTTTTTCGTTCCAGAGTTTTTCAGAATTATTCGTAAGTAAGGCTGAGG